ATGGTGCCAAAGAAACTTTTCCTCCCTTCTGTTTGTCAGTGTGATGAGAAAAGTAACCCACATATCATTAAAGTCCAGAAAGAGGCTGTTCTAAAGAATTTAAAGACGTTCCCGGCCACTGGGGATGAAGGGAGCTGGGTAAGGGTGAGGTAGAGGGTTGATGTTCATAAATAACAACAACTTTATATACATTTTGGCTGTTTGAGCAAACATGGGTCTTTGACTACAGAGACAAAGGAAGCAGTGGGCGGCTTTCTTTGCATTAACTCTGCTGTTTATACACAGGAGCCCTTTTGTCCTCCTGGAGTTGAGCTGGCCCATTTTCGGGATGACGGTGACCACGACAATGACCAGACTCTGAAAACAGTTGGAATGTATTCATTGTTCCTCAGTGAGGTCTACCGTGCTGTGTCAGAGGACACAGGGTACCCTGGTCTGACCTCACAGCATGGTGTGGGAGGGGATGGGATGGGAGGGGAGGGGGAGGCTGTGGGAGGGGAACAGACACGGGTGAGCAGCAGCAAAGCCATAATCACCAACCCTGGTCTCCCTTCCTCCAAGACTTGGGGTGGCATTCCTCTTATACCCACCCCCCCTGTACAGAGGGGCCAGGCTTCAGGTGAGGTGTTTGGCCATGGATTTAAAATGTGATTACCATATACAATTAGAACCACAGAAGAGAAGCCGTGTCTTTATCACATGTGGTGACACAATGACATGGTGTGCCCGAGGGAGAGCAGCAGAGAGGGTCTTTGAGTCAATTCCACGGCGACGCTTGTCTCTCCCCACACCGTATGAGGGTAAAGGGTAAGTTTACTTTCAAACCCACCTCGGAAAAGGGTTACAGGTGAAATTCCAGTTCTGTTGTACTGGTCAAGGGCAAACATGGAAGACAGATAGCTATTGAGGTAGAAATATATGGCCCAAGATCAATGTGGCCACAGGTAAGGAGGTAATAAGGAGGACCCGGCAGAGATGGCGCTGGAAAGTTGCCAGGACTGAGCCTACTTCGGAGCTCACTGTTGCTGGTGGTTTCTTGCCCCACCAGGTCCTGCCACCCTTCAAAGCCCCAAATAAGCACACAGAGACTATACTAATTATTAAACTGTTGGCTGATGGTTAGGCCTTCTTACTGGCCAGCTCTCTCTTAATTATTAACCCATAACTACTAGTCTATATATTTCTACATGGCCTTATCTTACCAGAGAACGCCTGGTACATCCCATCCTCCATGGCGTCTCTTCATGGTCTGTCTCCACCTCCCTTTCTCAGAATTCTCCTTGTCTCCTGACCCTGCCTGTCTTCCTGCTTCTATTGGCCAAAGTGTTTTATTCGCCAACCAAAAAGAAAAGCATATATACACAGAAGGACGTCCCCCCATCAGCTGACCTCACGAGTAGGGCCTTGGCAGCACAGTTTGGAGCCTCAGCTATCAAGGGCCCAAAGTACAGCATCCAGAAGGGCTGTTGTGAGCTAGAAAGGCTGAGTCCCTATTATCCTGAGAGGAGGATTTCTGTGAATTAAGGCAATGCGAATGGGACAGTGCTGTGTGCAGAGAATGGGGACCGAATAGACACGAGTGGAAGGAAAAAAGCAGTGTGGGCAAAGACCACTCACTGTTAAACGCTGTCTTCATCCTCCAGGCTCACTGCTATTTTGATATTCACTGTATTCAAACACACTGTTCATTTCAACAGGTTTTGTAAGGGACGTTCTAGAACCCAGTGATCCATGTGTCACAATAATATGATAACATTATTTGAGTGAACAAAATGCAAAAATTAATGTCTAGCAATCTGGAATCGTGCCTAGTTCAAATGTATGGGTCCACAGTAGAACAATGCTGTGCTCCTGGGTTGGTTGGCTAAATTCTGCTTCAAGGATAAAGTTGTGACAGATCACATGGGCAGCCAAGCTTCTAATTTCTTGCTCCTTAGAAACAGCAAGGTGTGCCTTCTTTGGTCTGTGTGTGTGTGTGTGTGTGTGTGTGTGTGTGTGTGTGTGTGTGTGTGTGTGTGTTGGGGGAGGGTTGTCTACTTGACTGCTCTGAATCTGTTCTTAACAAGGCTGGGAAGTCCACATGCAGATAACTACTTCCCGACAACTGCTCTTACTCTAGCCTGCCTCCTTGTTGAGAATATGGGGGCCTTATTTCAGACACGTTAGGTGGGAGTCTCTGTACCCCAGGTGCCTACTTTATGGGGAGGAAAAAGGTGAAGATTGTGACATGGACTTTAAAGGGGGGGGATGGAGGCTAGGAACGGACACTAAAGGAGGTCCCAGGAATGAAATGCATCTGCCTCTTCGGGTGAGGGGCTTCAGAGACTTCCTTCCCACAGCAGGCCTCCTCAAGCCCTCAGGGCTACAGCTACAACTTCACCTCCCCGAGGACCCAGGAACTAGGTTTGTTTCCCAGGTCTCAGAGCTGCAGTCTAAGATTGGCCCCAATCTCGAGGAAATCATCAGGAGATTGAGAAAAAGTCACAGATAGGCACAGACCTAGGACCTCTGCTCGAAAAGTTCTTTGTCACTGTGAGGCTGTCAGCCAAGCCAAGTGACCATGTTGCCTCCTCCTCCTCTTTTTTATCCAGTTTTCCTTTTATAGGGATGCTGCAAGGCTATAAAAGTCATTGAATGTTCTTTAAAATCTCAAGAAATCCTGTGAGAATGGCATAAAGAGCACACATCAAACACATTACTCCCGAAACCCACTGGGCAGCATTTCCAACACTCAGTGAGGCCGTTTTGGAGGACAGGTCATGGGAAGGAATCTATTAAGAGGAGGCCCAGTGGAAAGAAGCTCCCTAAACACACCGTGTCAGACAGGGTGCGTTCCTAACGCTGTAAAGTTTGTATGACAGTCATATAGAAAAGCTCCAGGGCATGCTTAGCCCATGATTCTCCTGGGGTAAATTCCTTCACGGATGGCATACCCTTCATCTCTGCTGTAAATACCCTCAGAGGGACTAAGAGTAAATCAGTGATTTTAAAACCGGTTGTTGAGAAAATTATTTTACTTTAAATTTTGTTGTTGGAAAGAACTTGAGCCGATGATGGTAAAAGCTTCTAGATGGTTCTCCACATTTCTGTAACAGAAGCCGCAATCTCTACCTGGAGGATACAAGTGCAGGGGAGGAGAAAGGGGAGGTGGAGGAAGAGGAGGAGGGGGGAAAGGGAGTGTGGGGAGAGAAGAAAGACTAGGAGGAGGGGAGAAGTAAGGAGGAGGAGAGAGGGAAGGGGGATAGGAGGAGGAGGGAGGCTCACACTGAAGCAGGAGACGCAGAACCAACTCTGCATCACTGTGGAGCTGGAATATAACATAGGGAAGCCAATGCATGGGAAGGGACAGTCTGCAGAAACGTTAAAAATGAAACTGTTCCATGAATCAGCAATGAGCCTAAGAGGAATGAAACATATGTCACTGATTGGCTAGAATGTCTGGCCAGCAAACCCAGGGAAATCCTCCTGTCTCCGTTCCCCAGTGCCAATGAAACAGGCACATGCCACAGCAGCCCTGGGATCGAGGCACAAGTCTTTATACTTTCGCCGGTGGCCCTGTACAACTGAGTCTTTTCCCTGCCCTGTGTTTTTGGAGAGTGCTGAGATTTTTGGTCAGAATTTTAAAACGGTTGCTATTGTTTCTTTGCTTTGGTTTTGGTTTCTGGGTGGGTCTCTGGGTAACTCTGCTGCTGTGCCTGGCTGGGTCTGTGGCAGCCAATGGTGTGAACATAAACTATGTAGACATAACTCACACTAGTGAAGGTCTGCCCTTCACTGCTGAGCATGGGAAGAATTCATGCAGACTTGCCCCAAACCAGTCTCATGTTCCAGAGAGTTTCACATCCGCATATAATGGCCTAGGGGTCACCAGGAAGGCAGGGGGAGGCTTTGGGGTAGCATTCTGCAGCTTTCTCCCTTACACAGTCTTCCCCCCCTTAAATCCCAGCTGCTAGCCAGGCATGCAATCCTAGGATTTGGGATATGGAGGCGGGGGTTGGGGGGGGGTGGGGGGGGTGGGGTGGGGGGGTGGGGTGGGAGAATGGGTGGTGGGTGGTGGGTGGGGATCAAGAACTCAATATCGTCTGTAGACACAAACCGAGTTCAAGGCCAGCCTGAGCTACATGAGTCCCTGTCTCAAAGCACTGAGCAAACAGAAACTTGAGCTGCTTTTGCTTTTCTCTGCAATTCAATCAGCTACCAGGAGACTTGTGGATTTTTATCACTGAGTCTGGGAGGATGCGAGTAACCCAGGCGAGAGGCGTTTCATCAGTGTGGTGGCAATTTCCCATCAATCGGTACTTTCTAGTTTCTTCTACCTTTGATCATTTTTAAATGATTGAACTTCATAATTCTGTCCAGGTTCATATTTTTTTCTGACAGGAAAAGAAACCCTCAAGTTTAATATCATTAAGTGGACGAGGCGTCTCAATCGTACCTTAAACACTTGAAAGTATATTTTCATTTTTATGACATTATATCGATTAAATTCCTTCAAATATTAGCCAACCATACCAGGAGGAAATTTTTATTTCTACAAAGCGTCTGGACATGATCAAAGAAATTACACAGAGCTGGAGGGATGGCTCAGTGGCTAAGAACAATTGCTGTTCTGTCAGAGGAGTGGAGTCTGGCTTCCAGCCCCTAGTCATCCAGCTCACAGCCACCTGAAACTCCAGCTCCAGCGGATCAGACACCTTTCTCTGGCCACCACAGGCATCCTTACACACGTGGCGTACCCACGTGGAGACACATACATATATGCGCAAATAAAAGTAAATATTTTTTTAAAAAAAGACGGGATAAAATTAAGAAGGGCAAGGTCTATTAGACCTGCTAAAGACTTTTAAGTACATATTACCTATTAGGGAAACTTAACTTGCAAACTTTTGCAAGTAAGTAGCGTGTGATTTTTGACCCAGATGCCCATTATGAAAAGGAGCAGTGGTAGAGAGAGATGGTGTGCCTCGCAACATGAGAGTCCATTTGCTCTTAGGGGTTACCTTGAAGGCTGCCATGCAGTGCAGGCTCAGTAAGGATATCACCACCGCCAGAAGGATGGTGGCAAGGTTCCTCACGTCCCAGATGGTCTCCACCAGAGGGATACTGCCCACTTGCCAGTCATAGCACAGGGTGATAGGCGCCAGCAGAAGCCAGACGTTGAAGGCCAGGAGGTAGGAGTAGGTCAGGAACCTATGAAGAGAACACTTGTGAAACACACCTCCCCACAGTTTGCAGACACTTGCTCACCACATTTCTAGGAAACGGCATGCCTGCTCTGCCGTTGTTTGTGGTGGAAGAGGAAGACAGGGAAAGACATCAAACTGGCTATTAAACTGATCACCTGGGAAATTATCTACAGTTTCTGGCCACCGTGTTTGGGTGCTGACTTCAACAGAGAGCCAAAAAAAAAAAAAAAAAAAAAAAAGGACATAGTTCCCAAGGAAGATATATTTAAATTTATCACACAAGTGAATATGCAGAGCATGGGATAAACGCAAATGAAGGACACCACGATAAAGGTAAATAGTAAGCACAGTCTTGCTTTGTAGGAAACCCGGCCTCTTAGACTGTCTCATCTCACTATTGACCAGAATCTTCCAGTACTTTTGAAAATATCTCACCATCTTGACAGCAGATTGGTCCAGATGAAACCATTTCAGAAAGAAAATGTTTGTGGTAGGGAGAGGAAATCTCTTATTCATTCACGGTTGACAGGGCAGGGGGCAGAGGGGCAGGAAGACAGACAGAGGGTGGGTTCTTATCCCCGAGGCTCTAGGTGAAACAGGCAGTATTCTATTCGAACATCTTCTTTGGGGTTAGAGGAAAGTGAGGTTATCCAAATCCATTTAGCCTGCACAGTCATTAAGTAGCAACTGAGGTTCCTGAGAACTTCAGGGCCCCTGGAATGGATCCATCCCAACCTCTGCACTACGAGGTGAGCAACTGCCCCATGGCTGCTAGCTCCACAGGGCCCACATTCTGAGATGATCTGTGCACCCCAGTGTATTAGGATGCATGGCAGAGTAACTGCAAGGATGAGCAGAGAATTTGTTCTTTGTTTCAGTCAATGCCTAACAGGCCTCTGTAAGCATCCCTCCTAGACTGTGTATAAGAGGGTTTAGGACTGTGACTGTGTATACCTTAAAGCTGGAGTGGAGGAGACACCTTAGCAGGCAGAGTCCTCCACACATAAGCATGAAGGCCCGGATTTGATTCCCAGAATCCACTTTAAAAAGCCAGGCGTGGTGACAGGCTCCTGTAATACCAGTGCTGGTGAGGTGGAAAACAGGACAGCCCCCAGAGCTCTATGGACAGGCAGCAAAACATGCTTAGTGAGTTCTGGGCCCGTGAGAGATCCTATCTCAATGGAGATGGACACTGTTTCTGAGGTAGAAGGTGACCTCTGGCCTCCAAACACACATTTATTCCTATACACACACACACACACACACACACACATATGCACACATGTCTACATTAAACAAACAAACCCAGGATTGTCATTCTCCGGGACCTAAAAGCCATGCTTTAAACTCCAACCAGGGAGGAAGGCTGAGGCATCTTTCTCCAGTCCAGTGGGGGATAGGTTCCTAAGTTAGTAACTGCCAGCAAGCAGATGAAGATGACACCTTTATACAAGCCAGAATGGACTCAGATCTTCCCCTTGTCGTCAACAGTTACTAAGTAAAACCTGTTATCAACAGTGGATAACCTAACTTGTTTATGACATCAGTATGCAATTAAATAGAATCAGGTGACACCTTGTCTCCAAGGACTCTACAATACAATGATGCAAATGATACACCCCAAAGGAACAGGAGAAAGTGAGAAGAACATCCATCTCAGGGCCCAAAGAGAAGTCCTCGAGACAGGAGGGATTCTTGCATTGGTGCACAGGCCAGAGCAGAGTTTCTTTGTTGTCTTCTGTAGAATCATTGTGGATGTGTCTGAAGGACATTTCCACGGGGATGTAAACGAGGTGGTGGGACTGAGTAAAAGGAGACAGTTACGCTCAGCACTGGCAGGCACCTCTCTCTGCTTCCTGGTTAAGATTTCGGGAGTACCAACCGCCTAACAATCCTGCCACCACACCCTTCCAAAGTGTGAACCCAAATGAACCCTTCCTTCTTCCCTTCCTTGAGTATTTCTTGCACTTTTCCTCACAGCAACAGGAGGAGCAGCTAACACAGGTTCTGTGGCTGTGACGCTTTAGAGCGAAACCCATCAACACAGTTACTCCTGACCCGAGCGAGATACTCCAAGCTGCCTCTTCCATCACCATCTCCGGCTTCGAGCCTAACGATGTCGGTGAGGAAAAATACTCTTAAACTCCAACACAGAAATGGGCAGGATTGGGACTGCTTCAACAGGATTTCCTACCACTTTCCTCTCTTGGAATCCTTAATGAAATGCTAATGAACAAATAGTAAAGACTGGATTGACGTAGGCCTTGCGCCTGTGTGCTGTCACCTGAGGGAGCCAGCTCACAGCAAACCAGTGGCGTTGCTGTGTACTGCTGTCTCTGCCTGGATATGATGCACCTCCCTTCAGTTCAGTGGAAAGTCTCTGCGTGGCTTGACTGGTGGACACTGAGCCACACATTTCACAGACAGAACAGTTGTCATGCTTATCCACCTCTTAAAAACTGCTTAAAGTATTTTCCTGCTTAGACATCAGGGAAATGCAAATCGAAACAACTTAGAGATACGTAATCTTAAACCTGCCAAAAATGGCTAAAATCGAAAACCCCAATGACAGTGTATGCTGGAGAGGATGTGGAGGAAGGTGAATGCTCCTCCATTGCTGGTCAGAGTACAAACTCGTACAGTCACTTTGGAAATCGGTATGGTGGTTTTTCAGGAAAATGGGAATCAGTCTACCTCAAGATCCAGCAATTCCACTTTTAGGCATATACCCAATGCACATTCATACCACAAAGATGTCTGTTCAACCATGTTCATAGCAGCATTGTTTGTAATAGCCATAACCTGGAAGCAACCTAGATGCCCCTCAACTGAAGAGTGGATAGAGAAAATGTGGTACATTTACACAATGGTTTATTACTCAGTGGAAAAACAACAACAACAACAACAAAAAGGAATCTTGAAATTCGCAGGCAAATAAATGGAACTAGAAGAAACCATCCTGAGTGAGGCAAGCCAGACACAGACAAACATGGCATGTATTCACTAATATGTGGATATTAGACATAGAGCAGAGGATTACCAGCCTACAATCTACAACCCCAGATATATATAGTCATTAATGACTACTAAACATATTAGGTTAGTGGCAAATAATGCAGTCACTAATGTGATGGTAGGTACCTGCAGTGCCAGCACTCAAGAGGCTGAGGCAGGAGGATAGCCACGAGTCAGAGGCCAGGCTAGGGTACTTACTGAGTGAGACCCTGTCTCAAACAACAAACAAGAATTTCAGGTACATAGAGCTCACTAATTCTGTTTTAATGTCATAAAGAGAGAGAAAAAGCTTACACAGACCTATGATGAAATAATCTTGTAAAAAAAAAACAAAACAACAGAGACAAAACCTTGAATTAGAACCCATTCTGAGACCAGCTGGTAATACGGAATACACTGATGAACCATCAGAACACGTTACGTGACACAATGTCCAAGATGTGGGAGAAATCACTGTACTGACAAGCTGGTTTCTTAGGCGTATGGCAATGGGGGACATGCATAAGTTAAGAATGGCCTAAGAGGCACACCAGAGGACAGACTCTATTTACATAGTGGTTAGTGCTGACTGCCAATTTGATGGGACCTAAAATCACCTAAGAAACCAGCCTCCAAGCACATCTGCGAGGAATTATTAGACTAGGTTAGCCCCTTGGTGTACCCTGTGAGACTATACAGATGGGGGAAGACCCAATCTGATATCGAGTACCAGCGATCCCTCTGCCTCAGACAGGACTAAACAAAAAGGAGAGCTTAAGCTGAGCAGTCACAGCTCTCCACTCCCTGGTCCCCAAGCTCCTGTCATTGCTACTTCCTCTCCATAATCGACTGCACGACTCGAACTCTGATCCAAAGCAAACTCTTTCTCCCTTAAGTTGCTTCTGTGGGGGAATTTTAACACAGCACTAGGAAGTAACTGAGAAAGAGGCTATTATATCAAGCTTTTACTACATAATTGGAAAAAACCATAATATTAATGGATAGTAGAGTTGGATACAGAGACTCATCACTAAGTTGTTTGTTTTTGTTTTTCGAGATAGGGTTTCTCTGTGCAACAGCCCTGGCTGTCCCGGAACTGGATCTGTAGACCTGTAGGCTGGCCCCGAACTCACAGAGACGAGCCTGCCTCTGCCTCCTGAGTGCTGGGATTAAAGGTGTGTGCCACCACCGCCTCCCTGGCTTCATCTTTAAGTTTCAAAGTGTGATACTGTTATAGGATGGAAGAACACCGTGAGAAATGAACTAGTTGAGCTTATTGATTTAGGACCTGCTTCAGTGTAACTGACCAGGCACAGAAGGGAAGAGGAGGGAGGAGAACATTCCAGATGGCTGAAGACTGTGAGTGCTCAAACTGACGACTATGTGGGTGTTCGCATGCCCCCCTTCTCTACTTTGGGTGCATCTGATATCTTTCATGATTTAAAAAAAAAAAAAAACCTTAAATCGAGGGAGGTGGCAGAGCTGCTCAAATGTCTCCTTCCCAGCTACATTTGGCTCACAGGACGCTTGCTAACGCTACGCAGGGTTTCTTATTTGAAGTCCATATGTTTGCTTTGCCCTGCAAGTTTCCTTCCCGTGCTTGTTTTCTAGAATTGCAATGTTGTACCAACTAAACAAAAATTAAGATTCATGGTTTTTTTTCTTTTTTAAGTTATAATCTTAATGAGAACAGAGTAAATCGCAGATGAGAAGCAGCAGTTACTGGTTTCCAGCTTGTATGTATTGTGATCATGTAGCTAGCAAACTTCTTTAAGTGCTTTCTGAGATAGGGACATAGCAGCGGAAAAATGTTTTGCAAATATAAGCAACAAAGAAGCCATTTGGAATCGCTCCAAAAGCTAATTATCTTTTAGGGAGGGCTATTTGAGCTAACTGTGATCAACAATTACAGGCTTTCTTTTTAACTCCTTCTCTATGAATTACACTCAAAATGCTAAAAAATTTAGAAATGAAATAGCTTGTGCAATGATTCTGCCCTGCTGGGTTCTC